TTGTACTACCTGAACAGCGGTTACCCATGCCTCACCTCAGGCATTTTACTTGTTGGACTGTCTTGCCTTCAGTGTGAATTAGCTTGTGGCCAGAAGCTCTTATCCTATTTAGTTTCTGACATTAGCCCATTTGCTATACAGCTGGGAAAGCAAGGGATTGATAACTTGGACATCAGAATTAGCATGCGTAAAGCACAGGAGGTTTTATCAAAAGGAATTCTGCACCAACAGGATTTTTTTTTTTTATGGCTAGTACTTGTGGTTTTGACAGGTAAAGATATAATTCCTGATTTTACATGAGGAAATAAATATAAAGTATATGTGGTTTGCCATCTGACATTGCCAAAAACTTTACAGATTAAAAGAAGTTGATTTGGAATGATGACCAAACTCTCTAAAAAATAGGTAACAGTCCCCCATAGTTACAGTGAGTAACTAACGATGTAGTTATCCAGACTGTGCTTCCTATTTTGTTAAAATATCTCTTAAATGTTGCAGACGACAGAATTCTTGCTTTTGGTTGCTTCTATGCGTTTATGACATTTATATGTTATAAGCAGGGAATTTATTTCCTTTCACTAATAGACTTGGGTCTCTGAACGTTTACTAGCTAGCTGGGAGCTATATGTAAACATTTCTATGTGACTAACACCTCCTACTTCCAGAGACATCACTAAATACTGGAATACCAAATTAGCAATTATAAACCTGCTAATCACTACAGTGGTATTCACAAAGGCTTTCTTTAGCCCAGCCAGGTTAATCTCCCTGTGCTGCCTTTACAGTCAGGAGGAAATTTCTATAGGGCAATTCAGAGCAGAAACCTAAAATTTAGGTGCTCTAAATGATTCTGTAGAATAGACCTGGTTATTGGGAGTCTCAAGAGACCACTTCCCTAGGCTGCAGGTATCCCTGCATTATACCCCCATTTTTTTTCTGTTAAAAATAATAATAATGTATTACAATAGCAAAATTAATATAATATAATAATAAAAATAATAAAAAATAAATTCTAATAAATCAAAACAAATAGCAGTCATGCAAAGGACAAAAAATGAACAAAAGCAGAAAGCTGCTGATCTCATGCTTCCCTGCAGAGAAAATGAGGAAAGGGTGGAGAATCGCCCAGACACTTTCTGATTATCCTGCGAGATAGGATGGGAACAATGAGGTGGCTGGGGTGAGCCTGAACAGAGCACTTTCATTTTGGCATTTCAATAAATGTTGGCAGCATTTTCTTTTTTAATGTCGACATTATGTGCACAACTTCAAGGTACGCTTTCCAAGTCACTCAAGTTAATTGATACATCAGGGATGCAGAACTGGAACATTATGTCCTTGATGCTACTTAAAAATATTGCAAAACTATATGTTGCCTTTGGAGGAGGTACTAGAAAAATCCAAATGCTTTACAGAAGTGTCGGCCAGAAATGGGGGGATTCACTGCAGCCATTTCCTTTAATGTGTGTCTCAGATTGATTGAAATACTATGAGATTATGTCTTCTGCTCTAGTTTTGATGATTAAATACTGCCCTGCCTCCCAAGTTGGATCTACTTTCATCTGATCCAGAACTGTCCTTTTGCTGACTGTATGTGTGTTTTTATACAAAATAACTAAGTGCACTAATAACTAATAACTTTTGCTCTGCACTTACAGCTGTCTGCTGCAATGTAGCCTCAAGGCTTCAAAACTGAGGGTTTTTGAATTCGGTGCAAGAGCTTGTCAGTGCAGAGACAGGCTCCTCTGATCCGTGGAGCAAAGAAACATTACTTACCAGCAGCTGTCATTCGTGGGATGTATCATCCGTATGTACTCAGGCTGTAGATGGACATCTCTCTGTGATGCCAATATCACAGACACTCAAGCCGCATCCTCTTCTACCTCACCTGCACCTGTAGGCACACTCAGAGCCTGTCCTTCTCACGGCTGTACAGGGTGGAGTGACGCCTGAGCCATCCACCGCCTCAGCCAGCACCCCCAGAGGCTCAGAGAGGGGAGGAGGGTGGTTAGTGCCTGCTCAGACAGGCACTGCAGAAGAGATTCAAGTGCGTAAATACAGTGTCAGGAGAAAGGCCCGAGGGCAGCCAGCATTGCCTTCCAGGGGAATTCTCCTCTGAGGCTCCAGGTCCTACAAGAAGCTGGAGAGGCTCATCAGAGCTCCCATGACCCTGACTCTGCCCCCACCACTGACAGCTCTAGTCTGCACAAACTTTCAAAAGGTATGGCCTGCTCTGCATTGCTGCAGGGGCATCGCTGCCTTTTATCGAGCCCAATGAGGGCAACGTGTATCCTGTTACAGTCAAGTGG